TAAAAAATAATTTTTGAGTAGGTAGTTATTATAATTTTAAAAGGTATATACATCAATTTTATTTTGTAATTCTGGAATCAACACATAATTAGCTTGTAACTCTTCTCGTAAACCAGTTATTGTTTTATTAGACGTATCAATTTCTTGCTTTAATTCAATTACTTCAGTTTGATTTTTTATCTCTTTTTCTTTTTGTAATGCTAACTTTTCAGTTCCATCCTTCAATCTCTCATCTTGCATTTTCAGTAACTAGAAAATAAGTGTTTCAACAAAACATAATCTATCAAAATAAATTAAATTATAGTGATAAATTTAAATAAAAACACATAAGATGGGTTTCTACAATTATTATTATATCGTTATCATGCGAATAAAAATATAAATACTTATTACACATCATATTAACACCATTATTTAAATTTTGTAGAATATTATTACTTTTATATAATTAAATTTATTTACATTTAGCAAGATCTCAAAAAGTACCTAACATTGATAATATATTTTTTAGATCGAATTCTAAAACATGGACACTCGTTAAATTTTGTTAAAACCTGGTGCCTATGATCTTAGGTGCTACATTCGAATTTGGTCATTGATCAACAAAATTTGAACTGAGAAATTAAATACTTTAAAAATACTAACATTGTCATAATTATCACACATATCTTTAAATTTGTTTTCTGTTTCTTCTTGAATTCTATGTTGAGACAATTTAATACTGCCGATCTCCTCCACCAAATTTTTATTAATTTCTTCAAGATATTGATTATGTTCTTTTAATGTAAAATTATCTTTTTTTAATTTATTATTTAATTCCTCAGATATTTTTAGATTACCACACAATTCTGATTGCTCTTTAATCATACTTGATTGTATATCTAACTGTTTTTTGTTTTCATTTCTAATAAATATAAATTATATAATATAGGTATACAAATTACTAATTATATAAATATTATATTTTTTTTATAATTACAGAGAAACCTTCAGTATGGTAAGTTCATCTTCTAAARTTTTATTTTTATTTATTATTTCATTCAAATTATCATTCATGGATTTATTTTGATTGATAATCAGTAGATTTTGATTTTCCATCTCTCTAATTTCTGTTTCAAAGCGTTGGCTAAAATAAAAATAATTAATCAAGGATACATTAGTTAATTTACTATTTTGATTATCATAATTTACTTAAGCTTCAAAACAGTTTCTTTTTCTTCATTTAATTTTATGTATGAATCATTCAGTTTTTCCAATAACATATTATTCTAAAAAAAGTTATAATCATTGTATTTAATATTTATTATAAAATTGATGTGATTAAAATATATAATTTAATACTAAATGTAGTTTTTGACTAATAAAATATTAAGATTCTTTGATTTGTTGACCTATTATATTTAGTAATTTTTACAAGGTATGTACAAAAATAATGGGTATTACTACTATTTCAAAATTTAAATATGTTATAATAAACAAAATATTATACTTACTTCATTTTTTAAGTATTCTATTTCATTAGTACATTCTTGTAAATTTGTTTTAAAACCAGTTATATCAAGAGAATACTTATCTTGCAAAATTTCTAAATCTTGTTTTGTTCTTATCTTTTCCATATTCACTATAAAGGGACATAATGTTTAACAGAAATAAAAAATAATTTTTAAAATTTCAACAGTAAGTATATTATTACAAAGGGCTAATTTTTGGTATATATTTTCTAGAAATGTCATTGAACTATGCAAGTGATAGATAAATATAACTCAAGGTGGTTATATTTCACATATTTTTTTTTTTATTAATTGCGTATAAATGTTCTCCTTAATAAAGCTAGTTAGCAGTGTGATGATGGAAGTTTAATTTTAAATGATATTTAGAGCATTTATTTTCTCTCCAAAATATGAACACTATTGTGAAATAAAAGATAACTATTTTTTTTTTTTTTTATGGTACATTCMTTATTTCCCCAAGAATATAAAACTTAATTGGTACATCTATTTATTAATTATTTTCATGGACCGGGCTTGATTTTTTCTTCATAAATTTGTATGATTCATAATTATATTTTAATTATATAATAATGCCTACAATAATACCTTGTTTTAATGACTCATCAAGAGTATCTGAAATACTTAAAATTTTTTCTTGAAATGTACTAGTAGTTTGATCTACTAATGTCATAACTTCTTTTTGTCTGATTCTTGCATTATCTACAGTGTCGCCAAGTCTGTTTAAACGCTCACAAATATTTGTGAAACTTGTATTTAGGCGGATACAGGTATCATTTACTGACTTTGTTCTGAAATAAAATTATGTATTCAATAATTATGTAGTATATCCACATTTTAATAGGCTTTCTTTTCATTTTTTACTCATTTATTATAAATGAACTTTGATATTGAATAATTTTAGTATTTAATGAATTATTTAGGTAAATATTATTATTATTATTATTGAATAGATAGGTATAAAAAATTAAGAGAAAATATTTTAAAAAGATTATGTTATAACATATACTCCAGGCCAATGAGAGAAGTAAACCATCTTGCACTAATAGCAGAGGCTATTACATGGCACCGTTTCCTTTACTATGTGATAGTCGGCAGTATGCTATACACACTAAGGGTTACCAAAAATTAATGGCCACTTTTAAATGTAACCAATAATATGCCAAATAGGTGAGGGATAAGTGAGATTAAACTTGTTTTGATCAGAACATAGTTATACTATTCTCTTGATTCTCTTAATCAAAATAAATATAGCTATTTTTTTAAGTATTATAAAATATTATATTTTTGAATACCTATATGTAATTTAAATTTCATAACATTACCAGTTTAAATATTATAACTCAATTTATCAAAAATACTTGTATAGATAAGAAATAAAGATGTAAATTTTGCATATATTATGAGAAAAATATATGCACATTTTTTTAAAATGAAGAAAAATATCTTGTAAAAACTCATTACTTTTCCATTATATTCTTGCACTGGTTATTTAGAATATAGTTATTATTTTGAGAATTGATCATATTTGTATGCAAGGATTTAATAGTGTAATCCCTTTCAGCTAATGCTTTTTCATACTCGGACATTTTCAAAGCCATCGTTAYATTATTTTGATCAACCATCATGCGTTGTARATCAAAGTATTTTACAGGATCGCAAAGGTCTCGATTAAGACCACTGTTTTCCATGACTGATTCAGGAATGATTCCTGTATTCTATAGAAATTTAAATTATGATTAAAACATTTTTTTACAGAATAATAAATAATAATAAATAATAATAAATAATAATAGTTATTATGATTATCATCAATGAGACATAATTAAAGATTATAAATGAAGATTAAACCACAGAATTTTGTAATTAAACTAAAGAGGGGATTATAGGAGCTGATAGCAAAGTAAAAATAATAATAGAAACCAATTTTAGACTATTATGGTCTATATTTATGATTAACCTACAATTAAAAAAAAATTAATTAAAACATCTTGCAAACAATTTATTCTAAATATATAATTATTTCAGTCAGGTAGATATAATTATTTCAATA